CCAGACCGAAGGTTACGGGTTTTCTGCTGGGTTTGACTTTCGGGTATTTTTTATTTTCCGTGTGTTTCGGGATGCTTGTTGCTCTGCAGTTTTGGCTTCTAGCATTCTAGTTTGAATCATGTGTCATGTGTCGCTGTCGTCTTCTAGCTTGAATCATGTGTCGCTGTCGCGATAGTAATACCCTTATGCCCTGAAGCAAGTCCCGAACTTAAACCTCTTCTGCCTACGGCCTGGCTTTGTCATGGAGTACCTGCTGGAGCATCCAACGGCCGGGAATCCCAGTGTGACTGCGTAGGGTTCAGCATAGTTCAGTATGGTGTTAGGATAGGGTTTAGGATCGGGTTGTGGACCGTTTATTGTTTAATAAAGGGGTCTAGGATAGGGGCATAGGACTTCAGCTGTTTAGGAACTTAGGCACTTAAGTTGAGGGGTTTATGAATAGTAATGTTGATAGGGGTGTAGGTCTTCAGTTATTCAGGAATTTAGGCTTGAGGATTGGGATAGGGGTGTAGCTTGTAGTCTTCGCTCGAAAGAGCGTTAAGCTTCGCTCGCAAGAGCTCTAATCCCTAACCCTAAACCCTAAAACCCTTCGCTCGAAAGAGTGCTAAGTTCGCTCGCAAGAGCGTTAATAAGGTTTAAGGTGCAGGGTTTAGGGTCTAGTTAGGTTTCGCTCGCAAGAGCGTTAAGTTTCGCTCGCAAGAGCGTTAAGCTTCGCTCGCAAGAGCGTTAATTTTCGCTCGTAAGAGCGTTAAGTTCAGCTCGAAAGAGCGTTAAGTTCCGCTCGAAAGAGTGTTAGAGGGTACAGGGCTTAGTTCTTATATTAATGAGGTTTAGGAAATGTAGGGTTGTTAAGCAGTCTTTGGGTGATTGTGCTTGGGGTGTAGTCTTGGTGTTTACGCTCAGGGTTTAGGGTCTAGGCTAGGGGTTAAGGTAAAGCTTGAGGGCTTGGCTTTGAATTTGAGGCTTGGGGCTCAGAGGGTTTTGGTGTTGAGGGTTAGTGCTTAATTTAGTTAGGGTTCCTGCGAAGCTTAGGCGACTCAAGTTCTTTAAGTCAACCCTGAGCCCGAAACCCATAACTTAACCTAAGGCCGGGCCCTGGTACCTGGGATCAAACCCAAGCCCCAAACCCATAACCCGAAACCGTAGCACAGAATCTCGCTGTTGCGTCCATTATACTGACTAGACTCTCAAGCCAGTAGCCTTTCCCAGCACTTTGAACCCTGAACACTTAGGGCCTTGAACCCTGGGAAACAACAACAACCCCCAACCTAAAACCCGAAACCCTTCAACATCGACCTCGCCAGCTTCAGTGCCCTAAACCCCTGAGCCTTCAACCCGAAACAAAGGCAGAAATCAACTGCAACCCCCTTTCGTAGCACTTCCCTCATCCTTCCCTTGTGATTGTCGCTGTCGATCGGAGCCTGTGCCTCAGCAACCGAAGCTGCACTTCTGCGAGGGTGTCGGGTTGAAGAGTGGTGACTTATTGCGAATTTCGGAGTTTTGGGTTTGTCTAGGGCTAGCTCACTCAGTCGTCTAGGTATGGCTTCGTTGGTTGATTGAATTGCCAGCATGACGATTACCGAACACTTTTTGCGATGCTTTCAGGCAACACTAGCGCAAAGGCTTAGCCAGTTTAGCCCTTCCATGAAAATGAATTTGACCCTTGGGTGATGTTTCATGACCCTTGGGTGTTGCTTCCAAGCCTTTCTCCTCACTGAAGGGTCAAAGGTTAACACTGAAGGGTTGTCCCTCAATTGCATCGGCCCAGGCCCGAATCCGGCGTTCGCTGTCGGAGGAGGTGCCTCTGCCTGCCTGACTCACATTGCCGGCGTGATTGCTTGGTTGCGTGAGGCATGAACGCACTTGAGTCTGACCTTGTATGATGGCCGCACCACTGGTTCAATCAGCTGGATCATCTCTCCAGGCAGCTAGCCTGGGTTGTGCCAGATTAGTCTTAAAAACTTGGAATGGATGATAATTTCAGGATGCTTGGAGACATCTGGTACAGTAGGTTATATTCCCACGGTCCTGGTGACTGGTGAGTACCGTACTACAGTTTATTAGACCAGTGTTCTTAAGCTAACTGCCAGGGGTGCTGACTCTGACAGTGTAGCATTCATCGCTGATCATGGCAACAACTAGTCAATCTGAACATAGCATCATCCATTTAGCAATTCGGGCCGGCATGCTGCTGAATGCGCACTGAATGTTGGCCAGGCCGACATGACAGTCAGAAGTACGACTGAGCACAGAAGTCTAACATGAGCCATCGCTGTCGCACAGAACTCTAACATGAGCCATCTTGGCATGTCGCTGTCGCTTAGATTTAAGTTAAGCTCAAGCCATGGCCATCCCTTTGGGCCCATCGCTGGAGGGGTTGGTGGTGGCGTGGGGCGCTTCGGCGTGGTACCGTGGTGGGGATGGCCGCCACTTGTCAGCGCTTACGATGTCGAAGCATGCTGTTGTTGGCATTTCGGATTGCGTGTCCGCTATCTAAGGACAGACGGTTGGGCACAAATTGTGGCCTTCGAAGTTGAAGCACGAGTTTGCTTCGTTTTATCAGGTCAGCTACGACATTCGGCAGAAGTGGGAGGACGATCCGGCGGAGTCGCTCAACCCGCAGCAAAAGGGCGCGGGTGGGCGACGATCGTCGCGCAGCCCTTCGTTGTCGCGAGCTCGTACCTTGGACTTTGATCGTAGATTCAGCCGGGGTCTATTGTTCTTGTTGTTCTTTCTTGCTGTATTGTCCGAGGTGGCGCAGGCTCCGACAACCCGTATGCCAACTTCCAGTTCCTGGTTGAGCTGATGAAGGAAGGCGAGCAGGCCTTGATCGCTGTCGTCTGCTTCGTGCTTGGCCTTGTCGGTCACCAGAACGGCAGCTTTTGCATCTCCATGATTTGCAGCTTGGCTTCGACCTTGTCTGTAGATCGAGTCTTCTGCTCAGGTTACCCGAAACCCCAAAACTCCAGACCGACTGCTGAGGCTCGGCGGGCCGTCACCGCAGCGTGACGGCCGCGATCGTGATCTCGGCCATATTCGGGTTGAGAATCTGGATCCCTTCTCACTGAGAGATGGACACGACACCGGGCGATGCTGTTTCGCTGTCGGGCTCGAAACAGAAGCTGGAGCTGGGGCAACGTTGTCGCGAGCTGCTGCGTCTCCTGGCCTGGCTTACTTCATTAATTTACTAATACTTAAGGTCAGACAGTCACCCCACGACATCTGCACAAGCTGCACAAAGTCAATCGAAGGCATGGCTCGCTGTCGAATGGCTTCCATCCTCGGCTTGCGTCCGCCAGTCCAAACGGCTGATGCGTCGGTGGCCACCGATGTCGTTGTCGATGTCGAAGACGAGGAGGAGGAGGAGCAGAAGCCGAAGGCGAAGGAGCGCAAGCTGGAAGAGGAGGAGGAGGAGGAAGAGGACTTCTGGTGGGATGCGCCGGAGCTCCGCGAGGCCGAACCGGTTGCATGGCAGGGAGCATGTTGTGTTGTGTATTTAATTAATCACCATGCTTTTTGAAATTGGCCAGGCCAAGAGGCACCTCAAAAAGAAGCACCTCAGCCTCTTCACGCTCCTGACGACGATGGACGTGGACGCGGATGCTTGGGAGGTTGGTCTGGACTTGTCTTGATTTGCTTCTGCCTGGTTCTCTGGCCCACTTGTCACTTGCAGTCGCTGTCGAACCTCCACAAAGTCGACAAGGAGGGCGCTGATGATTTTTGGCAGTATTGCCGAAATTGCAACTAGTTTGCATTAAAACAGTCCTGTCTTCCTTTCCCCACAGAGCTTTTTCGCTGACTGAGTCCCGGCGCGCGATGGCAAGTACGGCTTCCGGAATCCCTTGTCGGCCGTCCAAAAACACGTGGCCGACAGGGTCCGCTGGCGCAAGCAAGGTGCCCTGGTCTTGAAACATGTGCATGGGGCCCATTCATTAAACTTGGACCCCGCGTTCTAAAGCTGCTGAATTCAAATGTTGATTGAACTGCATCCCAGGCTACATTCCGGAGGCCGCACGGGACGCGCAGATGCAGCGCGGCCGGAGCAGTGACAGCAGCCGCTGGTGCAACTTGTTGAAATTCAGGGTCGTCAAGCATTGCGTATGTCGCTGCTCACTTGTACAAGTGTCAAATCAGCACAGCCTCCTTCGTGCCGTGCCAACCCAGATAACCACTATCCGGGAGCTGGCAGATGAGCCGATGCCCTGGCTTTTCGCTGTCGCACTACGCTGTCGCTGTCGTTGTCGCAGTAATGGCTGACCGCCTGCGGTGAGCTTGACTGATGCCACACCGCCGCTGCCAAAAAGACGGACACATGCTGTTTGCTTGCAATATCCAAGTGGCCGAGTCATCACCTGCTGCTCCTGCTTAGCATTCTCCTTGCCTTGCAGGTGCTCATTCCCATGACCGTGTCCTGACTTGCCTGGCCCCTGGGCGCAGCTTGCATTGGGATTCAGATTTAGAGGATAACTCGTCTACTAGAGTTTCGGATAGGGTCCAGGTCCGTTCCTGGATTAGGTAAGTTAACTCTTACACTTGAAGAGAAACTTACCTACAGACCTAGACCCCAAAGTTAGGCTTTAGCATAGGGGGTGTGAGCCTTTAGGTAAGTTAGGTATTGGTATACGGGTGCAGGCTTTGAGCATTCGTCTAGGTAGGCCTCTGGTCAAGCCGAGGATTTTAGGAACATAGGGTAGTCGGATAGGGGTCTAGGCCTTTACCTAATAATTTTAGGATAGGGTGCAGTTTCCTCTTTGCGGTGTC